TTGACAATTTCTTCACAGAAAAATAAAGCTGGATGGGCTGGAAACCGGGTTATTTGGCCATAGGCAAAAACTCCTAAACTCCTCTTTATCTTCGATGTTGATGTACCAAAGAAAAAAACTCGGAAATCTTCAGGTAAACCGTCATTTTATATTGTATATAAAAAAAATGTTTTAAATCTTATATACTTGAAAAAAAACAATAATAATAATAAATAAATATAAATATACCTTCGGTGTTGAGTTCCTGATCTGTGAGAAGTGGGAAGAAGTAATTTTTTTTTTCAAGCGAAAAAGGGGGTTTTATATTATGACGCAACGTCACATGATACATTTCGGCAATTCACCAATAAATTCTCTTATTGTGCGGACGATCCCATTCCATGTTATAGTATATTCATACCAATAATACTACTAAGGTTCTAATCAAAATTTCAAATTCGATCCTAGGATAAAATTTTTTATTTGCATTCCATAAATATAAAATAGAGCTTACTCGGTATAGACCTGCATCTCAGCAAAAATTTAAAAAATTTGATTGGTAGATAACGCGACTTTAATTTCACGTGATGAAAATTTCGTTATATCGCGAGTTCAGAAGATGACCGCAGTTTATAATGTGATCTCAATTGTTAACAGTATATTTGTTTTCAAAGGCCAATACCCTTGATTAATTACAATAATCTATAATGACTAATGATGGTAAGTGAAGTATTTTTTTTTGATTATTAAAAGTTACCAAACGAAAAAATTTTGAAGTTTTAACAGAACTTAATAATTCGATGAAGCACGAGAGTCTGCGATTGACGTATCATCAACTATCCATGAAAAATTATTTTTCCAACAATTTGATCATACGTGTAAAATTCATAAATTTTGTTTCACCCTGTAGACCATATATCAGTTATCGTAATTTAGTGAATTCGTTATGTTTGAAAATAAAGAAAGCTCTCGAATAATTAAAGCCTCATTCTGAATATAATCATAGAACTCTTTAAACTTGATCTTTCACAAGAGACAAGAAGTTTTCGAAATGTGGTGGTTGTGGACGACTCTAACCAATCAAATTCAGGCAAAATTCTCTACTTAGAAAGGGTATATGCATTGAATTGAATTTTTTATAATATTATGATTGAATAATACCATAGACCTGTGACTATAATTGCCATTTTATCAAGATACTCGCGTATCATTAATGAATAAGCTATTATGAAAGAAATAATGACAGAAAATTTGTGTAAATAAATTCTAATATAATCAAAGTTTCGGATCTTTAAATTTTTTAACAACTCCGAAACAAGAGGTGTAATTATAACAAAAAGTACGTAATTCTAATTAATATATTGAATCATTATATAATAATACAAACGAACTTTTTTTCAAACATCCCTCTTTTTTGTTTTTTTTTTGCATATTATCTTCAATCAACAATTCCCACTTTACAACTCTCATAAAGAAATGGGTCGACGTCCTAAAGGTGGCGAAGGAAAAGGAAGAGCGTCCAATCATAGAATAGCGACTTTAAAGGAAACCGCTCATAGTAATGTTAAGAGAACTGGATGTACGTTTGCTAGATCAATTCACTTAATAAGAATTTAAAATAATCATAAAACTCTCGAACATGTAGCTGGGAATCCTCTAAAACCTTCTAAACCCAAAAGATATAGACCTGGTACAGTTGCTTTACGTGAAATTAAACATTATCAAAAGACTACAAACCTTTTGATTCGTAAATTGCCCTTTCTCGTGTGGTAATTATTTAATTTAGACATGCTTATTCTGATCTGAAGACGTAGTTTATTAATTACCATTATTTTATACACAGGTACGTGAAATAGCTTTAGAAGTCTTAGGTCCAAAAACTGGTATTGGATTAAGATGGCAATCCGCCGCGATCTTGGCTCTTCAAGAAGGTATTGAAGAAACAATCCCTCATGTTTCTTCATGTTTCTTAATCTTACATTTATCTTTATAAATTTAAAGCTATCGAAGCCTATCTGGTCCATTTATTTGAAGACGCGTATGTATTTATCAATTGATATATATATATTTTTTTTTCTCAAATGATAAGCATTCCCAATGAATTATTATAGCAATTTATGTGCTATTCACGCGAAAAGAATTACAATAATGCAAAAAGATATTCAACTGGCGAGAAGGATTCGCGGGGTTTACATTTGTCCTGGATAAAAGACTAGCCAAAAAAAAATCTGGAATTCCCACATCATATTATTTGTAATAACGCTTCTCCTTATATGCCTTATTTGATGTAATTTTGGTTTTTTATATACCCTACTTCTAATTAAAACTGATATCATATATATAGCGCTTTTAAAATTTTTAAAATTGTGTATAATAAAATAAATAAATAAATAAGTTTTTTAATTGAAAAATCTATATAAATTTCTGACTTTTTTTTTTTTTTTTTTTTGATTCCTTCCTTAAAACGTCTTTAATTGATCCTAATATTATGGAGATTTATGAAAAATACACAAAAGACATATTAATATCACTAATAAGTGTATAGGTTACTATATTTGTTATTACATCCACTCTAAATAATGTTCTGTGACCAAAAAATTTACACAAAAATATTTATGGTTTTGTATGATCATTTCGTATTAATTATTAAAAGGAAAATATTCGCGTTGATTGAAATTGTCAATTGCTTTTCTTATTCTTCGTATATCTATAAATTTTAAAAAATAAAAATAAAAAAAAGTATAACTTAAATATTATCAAATTAATAAATAAATAATAAATCAGTCAAATTCCTGTCCCACAACTCACCGACAATATTGTGATCCACAATAACAAACAAAATCCTCGGTTTCAATTTTATAATCTAACGTTAATTCAGAAGATGCTTTGATATCTCTTTGTGCAAAAAAAGCTATTCTTTGCCACCTCTTGTCTTTATTCTCTACAAAAAACTATAAATATAGTTATAATTTGTTAATAAAATTTACAATATGCGAAACACACGACGACCCTTTTGCATAAATGACTTACGGGAATAGTTATCAAATTAGCATTACAGGAATGATTAAGGAATCGGCTTATTCCACACCAATAATTAGAATCTAGTCTAAAAAGGTAAATTAAAACGAAAATTTAATAGTAATCCAAGAGCTTGTTTTTTTTTTTCAAATATATTCAAGAAGAACTTACGAAAGTACTTGTCTCCTTTCTTTTTTATCAAAATCATAATCTAAATCAAAATAACTCATAGTATCCAATTTATCATAACAAACGGCTCTTAGCGATGCGATCTTAGCATCAATCACTTCTCCAACATGCTCCATTACGAATTCACCTTCTTTAATGAAATGGAACGTTCTAACACCCCACCCTTTTTCTTTAGTTTTAAAGATCTAAAGTATAAAAAGAAGAAATCTTGTTATAATGTAAGCTTCATTGAATAAAGAATTTTCGTTTTTGGTCGTGATGATTTAAACTCGCCTGAAATTTCTTTGGTGACTTTTTGCTCCTTTGTATAACCCGATTCGGGCAACTCATGTCGCAATTACATCGAGAATTACATTCATAGATCGCTCCTATGTCTGATCTTGATAATCTATCTTTCTTAAATGGAAATCCTTCACCTAATCAAAGATGGTAAGTGAAATTTTTAAAAAAATGATAGCCGATTCCGCTAAAAAAAGATTATAAATAAAATATCGTAATACCATGAGTTTCCTCATCGATCAACATACACTGACACACAGCTGTTTTCTACAAATCAATTTTAAAATCATATATTTTTTAAAACCTATTTCAAAATCGAAATTGGAATTTGACTTATAAATATATACCTGGCAATTATCCGCGCAAGCACATGCGAAATTCTCTAAAAGGTTTGGTCCTTTCACGTTTGGATGAATTATATTGTCTTTTATAAACTATAATAAATAAAAATAAGTTTGGTAACAGGAAAACGCAACAAAAGATCAGTTTAAAATGCCAACCTCTAATTGAGGAATTTTGTCATCATCCATAATATTCATAATATCATAAGGACATTTCGATCTTGGTGATTGAAGGTATGGATTCCATAATTCTTCAAATCTTTTATCAACTTCTTTGGATGAATTTAAACCCTTTAACTTATTCTTCATTGACATCATTGAATTAAAAATAGGTTTATTAACCATCATTTTTATATTATTATTTTTTTTCTCTGGATCCAAATCCATCACAATTTTCTTCTAATTTATAAATATAAAAAATAAATTTTTATCTTTTTTTTTTTTTAAAAAAACAATCATTTAATCTTGAAATTTTTAGAAAAAAATTAGTTACCTTGATTTCATCCCAAAGAAGGTGAACTTGTTTAGGATGTCTAAATATAATTGCACTCTAATCATAAGAAATTATCAAAGATCAATAAAAACTTCAGAAAAATCATAATTATAAAATATTTATCAAAATATTCTTACAATAGCTTGAATTAATTCCCAAGAAAAGCTAATTTCTTTAAAAGAAGCACTATGAATTTCTGAAATGTAGGATTGGATTAAAATTTTTTCATTATCTGTAATGTTTGTTATTAAATCCTTTCTATAATAAAATTAACAAATAATAAATTAATGCATCAAAATATTTTAAAAAAAATGCTACAACTTTTAAATAAGGTTAGAACACCAAACCTTATTTTTTCCCGGTGAATAATCCACTCCATTGAAATATAATCATTATTTAACATTTCATTTAAGTCCTTAGATAAATGAACAATTAATTCTAATAATTTTACCCAAAGATAAATTTGGCGTGGTGTAAAATAATCTTTGGAGCATTGTTTTAAATGATTCGTATCACAATGACCTATTAAACTTGTATTAACTTGATCAAAATCGATAATAGATGTTTGTATAGTAGTTAATATATTGTTTCCACTATTGCTATTGGCTGTTTTAGATGATGATGCAATCCCATTTGAAGAAATTTGAGTTTGAGTTTGAATTTTATTAATAATAAGATGTTTTTGATATGGTTCTAATCTGTAATCTCTCCTGGAATGATTATTTCTTTCATTCATTTTTTATTTATTTTTTTTTTTTTTAAAAAAAAAAAAAAATTTAGCTAATAAAAAAAAAGATAAAAACTATAGAAACAAATTACTACTTTTTATTTTTAAAAAATTGTATTGTTAGCCTTTTATACATAAGTTTATTCGTGTAACGTTATACGGATTGTTATTGACTATATAGGTAAAACGCGTCTGGTTACACGGGACATTAATGTCACGTAGTCGCGATCACGTGACTAGTGCAACAGGACAACCTTTCTTTGAAAAGTTGCTATAATCAGGCATTTAACCATCTATTTGACCTTTAAATGATGGATTATTAAATAATTTTAGCTTTTGATTTGAGTTTTGAGTTCAACAAAAAATCAATCACCAAATTTCAAGAATTTCAAATGAATAGGATAAATCAATGATAATAAATAAAAGTTAAGTTATAAATGAATTTATAACATCTATTAAAAAATATTATGACTCTTTAGAATAAATAAATTAAATAAATTTATATAACTTTGTTGATTTCAAATTTGAAGGAATTTTTTACAATGTAATCTGCTAAGCAATTGACCTGCATCTAATTCTTTATTTAAGATCTACGACAAGCATTGGCAATCTATTTATCAAAACGTAAATATATAAATAAGAATTTCACAAATACATTATCAAATGATAAATGTTTTATAAGGTTGTAATATTGAATAATAAATATTATTTGCTGCGCCACCGTAAAGTTATTTAATGTAAAATGGCTCATCGACTCCATAACCATTAAAAATAAAATCGACATAGCATTTAATTCATCTTAGCAAAAACAACATCGGAAATCATTTCAACGGGTACGATTGTAATTCAATCATTCCGCAGTAATGAGAATTTTAGATGCCGTCATCCAGTAATAAACTTTGCCCATAATTGATTAATTTCTGATTTTCTCACTTGTTTCAATTCCTTCATTAAAGAGAATCTAATGTTAGTTTTCGACGAATCCACGTCCAATAAATTGAAAATAACAATCCGTAAACTTTTTTACGGTATACTGCGGTGAACGTGCTGGTTAAATTACTTTCATATTAGGAATATGTATTTGATTGCTATTGCTAACTTTCCTTGTTTAGGATCTAACAACTTTTCGCTTGTCAGAGAAGAATTGAGTCTGTTAGTCGTTTAATATCATTCTTAACCTCCACTTCTCATGGTGAATTAGACAGCTTGATTACAAAAGTTACATGAAGCATTCATTATCTAGCAACGATCTAAGATTTGATTTTTAATTCAACTAATATATGCACTTATCTTAAACTAAGGTTGCCGGGCAAAACCCGGAGGTTTCGACAGGCATTGAAATCGAAACCCATCGAAACGTTTTGCCAAATTTTTTTATTAAAGGCAAAACTGCGAAAGTTTAGACGGGTGGCAAAAGTTTCGACGGATGGCAAAAACCCATCGATATTAAAATACAATTTTTTAACTTTAATAAATTATTTTGTTTTTACGAGTTGAGAAAATCGTTTATAGCAAAGTCATTCTTTGATTTTATTTATAATATCATATAATTATTTATAAAGTTAAGAAAAAAAAAACCAAAATATTTACATATTGAAATCAAATCAAATTTATTCTTCATCAAGTCCAATTACATCATTTATCTCCCAATTAGTATTTTCTACATTTAAACTCCTGACTGTATCCATTAAACTTTCATTTGAAAAATCATCATCTTCTTCATAAGAAAATTCTTATAATTCTTCAACAAGTTCCTGTGCTTCTAAATTTAAAACCTTCTCGATAAATAATGTATTATTTTGAAAGCTTTGTTCTAATTTAGTAGTATATTTGTCTAAACTTACATTATCCTGTATTGTAATTCATTATTTCTAGTATCTAATGCAGCCAATCGGGCTACACATGCTACTCTAGTATTTCCAGATAGAAGATCAGCATTAGGAAAATAACAAATACTTACATAATGTTAAGTTTTCTTGCTGCTCTAAATCTTTATTGATTTTTTTATTAACATTTGACATTTCTTTCTCCAATAAACTCTCAGCAAGATGTTCACAGATTGGTGGTTTATATGCAGAATTAAGTTCTTTTAAAAGATCCCTAAAAAATAGATGTTTAATAATTCGCCAAGATGTACCTGCACATGTAAAAGCTTTATAAGTACGCAGTCAATCCTTTCTACTTTTCCCTTCAGTAATTTAACAGGATCCAAAAAGGCATCTATTGTTCCATAGACAGCTTAACTTTTTTATTTTCTTGGGCTATTATCATTAATATTACAATTAGCTATTATATTTAAATATTCACAAATAACTGAAGGTTTTACCTAAATATAATAGTTTGCTAAATGATTTTTCATTATTGCTAGTTCACATCTTGTTTAAAATTTTATATAAGCTTTATAATTTACTTTATAACCAGCCGTTTATGACTAAATAATATAATTATATTATTTAGTCATAAACGGCTTAGATTAGGTTATTTAAGTAGGTAACATTTATTTATAATGTGACCTACTTACTGTTAGACTGTTCCCTACTTATGACTAAATAATTTAAATACGACTAAATAATCTAAAGTTAATAATCTAATTATGATTAAATAATCTAACTAAATAACTTGTTTGTGACGATTTTGTA